TTTGTCTTTAATAACACATATTATGGAAAAATTAATGGTATAGCGATGGGTTCGCCACTAGGTCCCATCCTTGCGGATTTTTTTCTGGGGAAACTAGAAAACGGATCTCTGAAAGAGGTTAGCAATAAACTGGATTTCTACTGTCGTTACGTTGATGACACCTTCATTATTGCCGATCAGAACATTAGAAAAGAACAACTATTGAAACTATTTAATAACAAACATCCTGCTATTAAATTTACATGTGAAGAGGAAATAGATAACAAACTAAATTTTCTGGACGTTTTGTTAAGTAGAAAAGAAAATGGTTCTACCAGCCGAGGTGTGTATAGAAAAAGTTCTTCTCCAAGCCAATACAAACATTTTTTAAGCTTTTTGCCTCCTCATTATAAAAGAAACTTAGTCAAATGTCTTGCAAATAGAGCTCTTAAGATATGCTCAGTCGACACAATTGATAATAATATTTTGATTGAATTGGGATATCCACTGGGTTCTCTGAAGCTGCAATTCAATGGTGATTTAGCTAGCGATGTATTACGGGATAGATTGACTAGAGCAGTAAAGAGAACGTTTAATGCTGTCAACCTCTGCCTATCGTATTCGACCCGATCGATGGTGATTCCGCAATTGAAGGATAAGTTACCTGGTTATGCCACTTCTATGTGTATCTATGAATTCAGCTGCTCCTGTGGAGAAAGCTATATTGGGCGCACTACCAGGCAACTGAACCAACGAGTTAGTGAACACCTCCCTTCGTGGTTAGGAAGAGGTTATGTCAAAACAATACGCAGCTTGGTTCTATCACACTTGATCGATAGCGGTCATACAGTGGACAGAAACAAGTCGTTCAAAAAACAAATTAGTCTTATTTCTGTCAATGAAGTTGTGGTTAAACTTCACAAACAAAATATAAAACTTACATGTTACTGTAGATTTAGTAGTTTAATGTGATTATTACTGGAGTAACATAATTCAATAAATGCATTTATGCATCTTATATGAAAGAAAAATGTCAGTAGAGATGAAAGAAAGAAAGAGCAATATCTATACATGGTAAATCATCCATATTTTTTCAGTTTTTCAATGTCTTACTACTTAGCTACAATCAATGCTAATAATAATAATAGTTATTATTATTATGGAACTATTTTCCTAATTTAAAAAATAAGTACTGAACTTCTCGGCGTCAGCTGCTTGATTTTTGACAGTTTTATAGATTGCTTGCTTTACAAGACAAGAAAAATTAGATAGAGGCTCGGTTTTTATTCCATTACCTCAGAGGCATCATCTCTGTAATAATAATAATAACGATAATAATAATAATATAAATTTATGTTCTTTATTGCCGATAGTAATAATAATAATAATAATGGTAATAGTAATAGTTCCAGGAGAAGAAAGAAAGAAGAAGTGAAAGAAAACAGATATTTTTAGGAGTTTCTTATTTATGTCCTTTCTTAGACTCACCCATATTTTGTTTGTTTAGGTGTTTATTCTATATAGATGACCAGATTTTGTGTATGATTTTAATTAATTAGTTAACTATCCCAAGTATCATAAATCAACATGAAAATGATCATCATAAGGATGTTTGTTAAATAATTTAATTTTTTTAAAACTAAGAAGTTACCTTCATTATTGTCAACATATTCATTATTATTATTATTAACTATGTAAATATGAACTATACATAAAACCATTTTAAAGAAACTCATCATGATACATATGAAGTAAAATATCAACTAGCCGAAAAGCAACTCTATTCTTTTATCTTAAAGAAAACAATAGAAGAGTTAATTAACAAACAAAAAATATATTGAATCACAATATAAACAATTATAGTTTATAGCTTTTTATTACACCATTTCCCTTTTACATACATTATAACTGATTACAATAACTAAATATGAAGTAAGGAAAACTGATGATGGGAAATTTGTTTTTTTTTTTAAAAATTATATTTTTATTCTCTATGTGACAATTTAATTGATATTAAAATGGGTTAGACATCATAAGTAACCAAAGGAATTTCATGTATATTGTCTAACTATGTAAGTATATGTGTATAGATATAAGTAAAACAATAAACATTCAAAGTTTTTACACAATAATATAATAAATTAGTTTATGAAAAGAGAAAAAAAAAATTTCTATACTGAAATTCTGGTTATTTTTCATAGTGTCATAATTTCTTTCGTTTTTTTTTTCTCTCTGAAAAATCTTAGAGAAGGGAACAAGAGAATTATTAACTACATAATTTATTTGTCATTAGATTCCATGTTGAATTTTTCTAAAATACTAAATTAGTGAAAATGAGAAATTGTGAAATCATCAGTAATGACCTGAATTTTTAATCAAATTTGTAACACTAAATTATGAGTAGACTATAATGAATAAGTGAATAAACAATCTAATTTATGATGTTAATATTTGACCTAAGTATAAACATATTTTGTTATAGAGAAATATGTTCTCTTAGGTCAACATATGAGTTGATTTAAAATAATGAACTTTTTTTTAAAGATGAATAAGTATTTGAACAATTAAAGATGCTAAAAGCTTCTTGGTCACCTTTCGTCTAATTGATAAAATAGTGTAGACCGGTAGATCCTGGGTTCGAATCCCGCGAGGTGGGGTCGTGGATGCGCCCTGTTGAAGAGTCCCACAATAGGAAGAAACGGTCGTCCAGTGCTTCCAGGTTTACCATGGTGATCAACAATTGAAATTACCAAAATCTCCATAAAACAGCCTCCTGATATTAATCAACATATGCTCACTAGTGACCGGCTTCAAGATGTATATCCTGGAGTTCTAGTGAGAAGCAGTGACCAGAGGAGTTCAACCGGGTCAGTTGTGGGATAGTAACTCACTGATGACAATGGTGGATGTGATGCTCAGTTTCGTGGATTGATTGAAGTTAGACATTAACACTGTTGCATGCTGACGGGCTCAGTGGTCTAGTGGTTAAGAGCTCGCGCTCGAGACCAGCAGGTCTTGGGTTGGAATCTCGCAAGGTGGGATCGTGAATGCGTACTGCTTAGGAGTCCCACAATAGGAAGAAATGGCCGTTCAGTGCTTTCAGGTTTTCCATGATGATCTAGCTTCAATCGACTCATGATCTCAACCATTCAATTTACTTTTCTTATATTTAGTTTAACTAATTAATAATGTATATCAACCATACAATTGGCTCACACGCCATCATGAAATACTTTTGTGTTATTACGATAACAGATACCGTAAAACTGGACAGATATACCCTGATGGTTAGTATATTTATCTCTTCCTCTATACTTTGTAGAAGTGAAACGTGATCATATTCGAACTCATGAATTTAATATACTATACAGTAAGGAATATTGTAACGACAAAAATGTCTGAAAATATCTACTGTTGAAGATAATTGGTTGATAATTACTATTGTGTATAAACTGTTCCAAATATATACAATTTAAATGTATATTAATTGACGATTTATTGTAATATTTCATGTATTGTAGTGAGAATTATTTTCTGTAGAGGAATATAAAGTACTCAAATAAGGCAAATATAATTTTTAATCAAGAATATATTACTTTTTAAAAAAAGATTCTTTTACAATTTCCAAACTGTAAATTCACATGTGTTGTATCTTAGGTGTACAATAATAGTTTTGTTATAGTTTGGCAATCTTTCCTGTCAACCAAATATCATTACCATATTTACCAAGTGATTCTGTTTTAAGTCAATATATTTATAGTGCAATATGATTTTATAAGTATCAAGTAATCATAATGAAATAATCATAAAAATGGAATCAGATTAAATAATTTTAAATGATACTATATATGTACCATAAAAAATGAGTAATTTCAACTAACCAAACCAATCCTTAATTCTGTCAATTAAACAAATGACTATAGTTTTCGTCAGGAAGTGATATTGGATGGAGGGATTTCTCATTCACTTTGTACAACAGTTCCAAAAAACAACATTGGAGATAATGATTGTATGTTTATTAGTGAAACGAATTCCCCAAATTTCTGGCGGAAAACTATGGGGTGTGGAGACAGCAAGTAGAGAGTGAATCAATACCTCATCGATACTATTTGATTATAATAGAGTTATATCACAGATTGACTGGACTTGAGAATGTGGCTACTGATACATTCACGAAATTGTCTCTCCCCCTGCGAGACCTGAAGTTGAAATTCCAAACACCATATGATGTTGTAAGTCTAGATTTCCCAGAATTCAAAAACTCTAGCCATTAAAGTTGTACAGTTCTTTGTTCTCAATCATTATTTAAATGCTTTCAGATTGTAATCAAAATTACTGTCAAATTATGTAAACACTGTACAAAACCACCTTAGTACAATATTATGTAGTGAAAAATGAATAAGTATATAATATTTAACTTGAAAAAAGAAGACAAATTTATATCTGTGTGTTTATCAGTGCGTACATACTTATATTTTCTGGTTGGATAAATACAGATAATATGTGAGCAATTGCGATAAGTTGAATAAATAGGTCCATAAATATGAGAAGCGACGTTTGCCTAATTTACGTAACAGAATCTCTCTTCATACCTTAACACTGGTTATTAGACAGTATACCACTTACAAAGAAAGATGAAAAGGATAATAACTTGGGCAAATAAATTAGTATTTATCCGTCAACCACATTCAGTTTAGATGACGGACAAAGCCATCTTATCTCATTTCTAGACTTACAATTAATTAAGAGGCCATTTCGAAGGCTAAAACAAGATGTAGTTAGTTCGAATACCGTTTTAACTCATAACTTTTAATGTGAATCATGATCTATATTTTCAAAAATTGTCTACCGTTGTTATCTTCGATCTCTAGCAGTGGTAAAAAATTTAAAAGTAAAAGTTAGGTTACTTTTAAGTAGTATAATAGAAACTGAAAAAGGTTTTTAAGGACCTAAAGTTATATCATGAAAAATTTGATTGCTTCTTAATTCACTAGTGTGGTTTAGAAATTTTTGTAAGTTCCATGAAAGGACGACGCATCAATCAACTCATTGGAAGTCTTGATCTTTTAAGGGAAAATAACACTCATATTTTTGTTACCATGATAGATTCTATTCTTGGATTATGGTCTATTTATGCTCCTATTTCTTTATCGAATAACTGGACTATGAATTTGGAGTTACTTTCATCGTCCATATGGAGTAAATTTCCCTTGTGGGTTGATAGTCTCTCGAGCTGTAAGTTTACCGGTTTCTTCAGTAACACAAGTACTTAGAAATCCAGGTGTTATCACAATTCTCTTGAAATTTATAGTGAACCTAGAATAAAGATGAAAAAGAAATTTGTAAACACTTGTCATCTTATTTATAAATATAGTTTTAAATATTCAGATTTATTATATTTTATATGATTTGTGGCACAAATTGTCCCTTACTTGCCCACTGATTTCACTTAGTAGTATTTTTATCATCAAGAAATATAGTTTGCGTCACATGTTATTGTGTTCAGATATTCCTCAAAATGAGGCCTTACTCAACTATTCTGCAACTACATAAATCGTTTATTGCTGTTGACTTCAACAGTAATATCTAAGTAAAAACAAGACACGAATCAGAATTGAATAACAAACTCAAAGTGTTAGTTAATTACATACACTATGTCTCAAGGACTTATACTGAACAAATTTCATAAAAACGTGGCTTTTTAGACATTAGTACTGATATTGTATTGGAATTAAAAACAAATCTAGGTGACTCAGTGTGCTTTATATTGATGCGCTTAGATTTTTCATCTGTGTGAACAAAATTTAGTTGAATTGCTATAAATTTATTTTCTCCACACCAAATTTCTTAGGTTTCTATTCCTGACGGCATCCCGAAAACGCATCATTATCAACAAAATTGTTTTACGAAGAACGAGTATCCAAAGGTTAATGGACTGCTTACTGAAGAAGTGAGGACTCCAACTCTATGTCTGGTCGAGGAATCAAGTTTTCTCAAAGTAGTCAACAAAAATGTCACAAGAAAGATATTGGTTATCTCAAACACATTTTGTCGATTCCTGCTACTATTGCTATCAGGTTAGATTTATGGTTGACATCTTATCAGCTGGAGCTTGTAAGTAAACATTTACAATGTTAAACAACTAAATAAAGCAGTTTTTATCTTTCGGAGTCGTTGGATAACAAAATCTACGACCCTTCATTGGAGTCATTGTAATGTATGCCCGTTTGTAGAATGGCAAATGTGAAACTTTTAGGTGTTCATCTCTGTTTGTTGTTTGTTAAACACACAAACCTCAAACAAAAAAAACATATAGTGGAGCTCTACATTTAATCATTACTGTTTTCATTTGGGGTCTAGATAAATTAACTAACATGATCCGACCGATGAGGTATTTACCAAGAACGATTTGAGTAGTCTTTACCACTTTTTATGCATACCATACCAGTGATTATTCACAGACCTCATGACACACAGGAATCAGTGACTAGATTGTACGTTCTGGAGTGGTTTTGTAATATGTATGTTCTCCATTTGGTATTAAGTACTTATAGTTTCCCGATTTATTTAATTACATATGATACGAAGTCATATATTCTATAAGGGTCTGGTAACAATCCAAAATAAACTAATGTAAAGATGTTAGTGAAGATACTGTTGACAAATATGTACTCTCAAAGTAATTTACTGGATCACAGACACATAATTTAAAATGATTTCACTATTAAGATAAGAGATTTTCGGTATCAGATCAACTTGAAGATAGTCTTCTATATGAACTGGTGAAACCTGAAAGATTACTGAAAGCTAAGGAGGACAGGAAAATTGTTTCATCCTTATATGAAACTCTTCAGCAGTGATGACCTACTATCTGAAATGCTTCGAATTCAAAACATTTAGGACTCACAGTGGACTAGCTACCTGAAGACCACTAAGTTGTCATCCAACTGTCTACATATATAAATCAATTAGTTAACGTTAACCCACAATGTAAATTTCTACCAAAATTAACTTCACTTTATATTATATTAGGAGTTTTTACATAAAGACTACATATAACTGTAGTCTTTATGTTGAGAACTACATGATTTTCTAAATTTGTTAACGGTATAAGAAAGTTTATATAATTGGATACTGTGAAGTAACCTAAAAAAACCCGACTAACAATATATTTCATCGACTTCACTATTAGGCAATATTTACATTTAAACGTAAATGATGATATCAGTAGATCCATATGTGTGTAAGAAAAATAATAACCTTTACTTGTGCCCAAGAACCCTTGTAAGATATAGGAAGCTAAACAAAGACTCCCAAACAACTCTATCCTAATATTCTTTCTAGTTTATAACTGCTAATCATGATTGTGATACATGTCTCTAATTACGGGCGAAATGTGTTCTTCTGTTTGCTCCTTCTCTCTTATAATTGAAGATTTCAAGTTACGACTTACCTCATAATGCACTCTAACGGTTCCCATAAAGTTTCCTATCCACCACTACAGTTCCTCTTAATTTCCTCTTCGACTGACAGCTGATTCGTCCACTAACAGAATACATTTTTGGTAATGGTGTCTGGTCAATGGATCTGGAGTATCTCATGTTGACAGTTGTTCATAAACACTTGCACTTTTTGTGATGGTGGTAGTAGTTCCCTAAGTTTTTACTCTGCATAATGAGACTATTCAATCTTGCTATTGAGAATTCTGACTTTCATCCTAACCGATTGTTATTTTCAGTTACAGATGTTCTTCAAGTGCAGGGATGTTACTATTACTTTGCCAATCGTGCATTCACATCTACATCAAAACTTTCTAATCTGTCAGTGATGCTCACCAGGTACGAGGGAGCTCTCACATCTTCCAGAGCTCCACCATCATCAAGTCTGATTTGGTTGGTGCTCACTGTGTTGAATTTCAGGATTTCGCCTTTCCTGTGGAGGCCTCTGTGAGTTTACTTCTATGCACATATTTTGAATCCAGTCACTCATGTCGGTTCCATATGATGGTGGGCGAAATATCATCAGGTAATATATAGTGTCGAATAAGATTCTATAGGTTTTCCCTTTGCACGCTATCGAGTGTTTTCCCACAGTCAAGGAAACTGATATCTAATAGTGAGTTGCATGCAACTGATTGTTCAGGTGTGGTCCACAATGTGGTGATTTGGTCGGTGAACGATCTATCCTTGAAAAAGTCGACTTCTTGGTCACGAAGCTGTACAACTACTCAGTCTTTCATTTCGTTGGGTAACACTCTGTTGAAATCCTTTTCTGCTTCTGATCTCCGTTCCTCTGTATCTTGGTGCGGTATCACTTTTTCTAGTCTACTGCCACTTGTTCTTCCTCCCATATCATTCGGAAGAGTGAGTGTGCACCCGAATTCAAGGCTCAACCTGGTATTCTATCTGGCGATTGTGCTTTACCCTTCCTGATGTATCGATTGGTTTCGTTACTTCCTCTATTGCTGGTGGGGTGACATGCACAAAGATGTCTATGTTGGCACTTTGATATACAGTGGGTTCAGTGAGTCTGGTCTAATCGAGAGTTCTTCACAATGCTTTATCTGTCTACTCCGTGATTGGTTTGCTTTATCTGTTGATGACTGGCTGCTCTGATTTATCATATTTCCTTGCTGGGTTCTTGATTGTGATATATAGTCCTCTCACATGTCCTTCACTCTCAGCTTTCTCTGATGTCATTGTCATATTTTCTACATATTTGCACTTGTCAGTTCTGATGGTTTTCTTCAGTGGTTTGGTTGTTTTTGTATATTGACCCTATGCATTGTCTTGCTGTGCTCTTGTTTGGTTGTTTTTAACTGATATCTCGTTGTTTTTCCCTCTTCGATCTTGTCCATAGTGTCTATAGAGACGCAATCTTTATGTTGGTGGTACTTGTAACCGAGGATCTACTGGTAATTGGAAGTAATTGCTTCCTCAACCCCTTTCCAGTTGTTTTTCATAATGGTTTACTCTTATTGTGGTAGATCTTTTGTGGTTTTTGAACATGTTGCTGAAGATTCCTGTAGGTATGTTTACCTAAAATTACCAAAGCCACTAGAAATTCATAATTGCTTTTTTTGTTCATCATAACGCATTCAACAAAAATTAAATCGAATGTACGAAGCTAGCAGATTTACATGCAATCGTTTAGTAATCAAGGTCTACTACCTACTAACTTCTAAAATTTTTAAGTTTGAAAATACATCATATTAAATTAAACTCTCTTTTTCAACTGCAATCTTCAAGAATATATTTAATAATCTGTAGTAGGATAACAAACGCTAGTAGAAGGAATGATTGGGATGTGAGTGATAGAGTATTGAAGGCCCTCGCTATATATATAGAAGAAGTACATCAGAAGTTATGGGTTAGAAAGGAATAAAGACGGGGTTTAAGTATAGCATAGTGTATTATAGCATAGTATAGAACTAAACTATGTACGCTAAACTATCCTACTGATCCTGTTAGATAAAATTCTACGAAACATTACGCAGTAACTCAAACAAGCAGGTTCAAATAATTAATGAGAATAATTTAGTCGTTGAGTATTCTAGAACCCGGTGTGATAAGGGCCCAGCAAAAAAGACAACCTTATCGTGAATTCGAAGGAAAGCAAGTCTAAAAATTATGTCAGGAACTTAGTATGATTATTCAGTACGTACGATTTTATCGCTGTGATCTCCTTCAAAGTAATTTGCATGAAATTATTGTCTATTATATTGTATCCTGTTGCTAAAGGGAATCCAGGCAACCGTGGGAAATTCCTTTTTCATTTAAAAAAGATAACAGTATCAAAAAGATATCGTCATTATGATCCTTTATATCATATTCACTGCAGACTTGTAAACTTAAATTTATGACTTTTTTCCAAAGATTTAATCGGAGATCAACTTCTCAATAAACATAGGTCTAACTTCATTACACCTAAAAAAAACTAACTTACCTTCACGGTTAAAGTGAAAAAATTCAGACAACCTTGATTTGTCTGAAGAAATATGTTTGAAAATACTTCAAACCACATGCTATCCTTTGTCTTAACAACAACTGTAGTGACTGAATGCCATTATGTACTATATACTAATTTGACATAAATGACATAATAATCACTTTGTTTTAGTCTACTATAGTCTGCATGAAGATTGGCTTCTGTAATTTTTTTTTCGAAAACAATTTTTAATTTAACTGGTATTCCCTTGTACAAATAACATGTCTCTGAGGCACTGATCTATTGCT